ACCTCGCTTGTAAATTTGTGAAAGAAGCTCCTTTTGTTGACAGTTCTAATGCCTGCCATCTGTTTGCATGGGATGAAGGCCTGGTGCTCTACTAATTGGTCATAAATTAGGTATCAGCAGCAGGCTTTTGACAGGATCCTTCAGCTACAGTTTCATTTGTTTAAAAGCTGTGAATTCAACATTTTATGGGAAACCCAAACTCTCTCCTAAGAGTATAGAAATGCACTTCTTGGCCGGCGGTGCGGCTCAACAGGCTAATCCTCCGCCTTGCGGCACCGGCACACCAGGTTCTAGTCCTGGTCGGGGCGCCGGATTCTGTCCTGGTTGCCCCTCTTCCAGGCCAGCTCTCTGCTGTGGCCCAGGGAGTGCAGTGGAGGATGGCCCAAGTGCTTGGGCCCTGCACCCCGTGGGAGACCAGGAGAAGTACCTGGCTTCTGCCATCGCGGCGGCCATTGGAGGGTGAACCAACGGCGGGGGAAGACCTTTCTCTCTTCTCTCTCTCTCACTGTCCACTCTGCCTGTCAAAAAAAAAAAAAAAAAAAAAAAGAAAGAAAAAAAACAACCAAAAAAAAAAAAAAAAAGCACTTCTTGAGTTCATGGATGCAAACTTTTTTCTCTATATTTATGCTTAAAGCTAGCCCTCTCTCAGGGTATCTTCTCTGTATGCATCCCTGAAGGTAAGCATGATAATGAAAGAGAAAATAGGCTACTTCCAAGTGTTCTGCTAAAAGTACATTTGTTGGGGCTGGCACTGTGGTGTAATGGGTTAAGCCACTACCTGCAAGGCTGGCATTCCATATTGGCATTGGTTAGAGTCCCTGGTGCTCCACTTCCTATCCAGCTCCCTACTAATGTGCCTGGGAAAATAGCAGAAGATGGCCCAAATGGCTGGGCCCCTGCCACCCATGTGTGAAATCCAGATGAAGCCTGCGGCTCCAGGCTTCACCCTGGTCCAGCCCAAGCTGTTGCAGCCATTTAGGAAGTGAACAAGCAGATGGAAGATCTCCCTCTCTGTGTGTGTGTCTCTCCCTCTCCCTCTCTATAATGCTGCCTTTCAAATAAATAAAATAGATAGCTGGACAGGGAAGGAAGGAAGGAAGGAAGGAAGGAAGGAAGGAAGGAAGGAAGGAAGGAAGGAAGGAAGGGAGGGAGGGAGGGAGGGAGGAAAGAAGAGAAGGAAAGGGTACATTTGTTGAATGCTTTCCACATTTCTTGTGCTGCACATCGACTTTTATCTGTATTAAATCTTTTGTGTTTCAAATCTATTTTATACTCAGGTAATAGTAGCACATCCTGCAGACATGGACACTGAGACAAAATTTAAGCAATTTTCCCATATTGACATAAAATGGTGCAATTAAGACTTAAGTAGTGAACTTTGACAATACTCACTCTCCACTTTACACTGTATACGTTAAGGTTTGGAAAAAGGAGGGCAAATGCATTTGTGCAGTGCTACCTGTTGCACCTTTATCTGAAATGAGTGAACTAGATAAAATGACCAGCAAAGCTTTATTTAGTTTTATTCTTTGTAGTTCGGTTAATTTGGGCTTTCCCATGAAATCTTACCACGTCACCAAACTGCAATGGCCTTTAGCTTCCTCTTCTGTAAAACACCCTATCCGCATTCCAGCTACAATCTCATAGTTGCAAACACTCACAAATTATAAAGATCTGCAGGGATACAAACTGCAAAGAGTACCTATCCATCACTAACCGGCTGACAACACCTCAGCCCCACTGTCCCTCCTCCACTTAAATTCTAGTAAACATCATTCTACTGTCTGAGTGCAGCTTCACTAGATTCCATATATAAGTGAGATCATGGGGTATTTATCTATTTCTGGCTTATTTCATGGAATACAGTGTCCTTCAGACTTACCCATGTTTTCACAAATGGCAGTATTCCCTCTTTTAAAAGCTCAATAGTATTCCACTGTGTATAAAGCCACCTTTCTTTACCCATTCATCAGTCAGCTGAGGGGTCCTTAGGTTGTTTCCATAGCTTGACTATTGTGAATAACGCTGCAATAAACACCGGAGTGCAGCTCTCTCTTTGACACATTTCTTTCAGGTTCTTTGGCTACATACCCAGGAGTGAGATTACTGGGTCAGATGACATTTCTATTTTTAGTTATTTGAGGAATTGCCCCATCATTCTTCTGTAATAACTCTACATCAGAGTATAAGTTCTGCCCTTCTTAGCACCCTAACACTTGTTATCTTTCATCTTTTTTTTTATATTAGACATTCTCACAAGTGGGAGGTGACATCTCATTGTTGTTTTAATTTTTATTTCCCTAATAATTACTCCTTATCTGCAAATTTTTATGTAGCTACAGCCATTTGTGTGTCTTCTTTTGAAAAACATCTAGGTCCTCTGTTTATTTTTAAATCATAACTCGGGCCAGTGGCACGGCTCACTAGGCTAATCCTCCACCTTGCGGCGCCGGCACACCAGGTTCTAGTCACGGTCGGGGCACCGGATTCTGTCCCGGTTGCCCCTCTTCCAGGCCAGCTCTCTGCTGTGGCCAGGGAAGTGCAGTGGAGGATGGCCCAAGTGCTTGGGCCCTGCACCCCATGGGAGACCAGGAGAAGCACCTGGCTCCTGCCATCGGATCAGCGCGGTGCGCCGGCCGCGGCGGCCATTGGAGGGTGAACCAATGGCAAAAGAAGACCTTTCTCTCTGTCTCTCTCTCTCACTGTCCACTCTGCCTTTCAAAAAAAAAATCATATAACTCAATTTCTTAAAATAAAAAATATTCTGAGACTCATTGCTCTCATTTCCTTTTCACCTACTTTCTCTGTCCCCTGGATTGCCTTCTCACCAATGCATGAAAACTGTTTTCCCCCAGGTTACTAAACTCAGTGTCCTTTCCCCTAATTGCATGTCACTAAGGTGCTTCCTTGCATTCAACACTGCTATTTTCTCTTGAAATTTTCTCTTGGTTTCCTACACTACTCTAATTGCTAACATCTCAATTTTTTTACTGATATTATTTCCCCTGTCTTTTTAATAAAATAATTTCTCTAAATTATAACATTGTTCCTTTTTATTTTTTTCTATGTGCTTTCATGCAATTCCATCCCATCCCATGGCTTCAGCTCTTAACTATATGTAGGTAATTTTTAGTTAACTGTAACAGTTCATGTCACACATTTCTAACCTCCTATAGGGCATTTATTCTTGAACGTTCAACAATGTACATCAAGCTCACTGCATTCTCAGGAGAATATCATTGCACTTCCCAAAATCTCTCTATGTTCCTTCAATACCTTCTCTATCATCAGTAAAACTAATTTCTCCCTTGTTTTTTCACATTTGGTCAGATGTTAAGCCCTCTGTTTTGACCCATTCATTATTATGCATTTTCCCTCTAAATGGTCTCACAATGACCAACTGGAATTAGACTGGTTTCCAGATATGCTGTCTTCAACCTCTCCTTCTTACTCATTCTAATTCATCTTATATAGCATGCCATATTAGTATACCAAATACGTTGTTACAGTGACACAATTTTGCTGCATAAAACAGTCATAGCTACCCTTATCCCAACATTCGATACTCTCAGTGGGCCAGTCTCAATAAGTTTATGAACTTGTTCATTATATCACATTTCCCAGCTATCTTTACACAGTCTCTAAGTAGTTGAAATGACTCATAGTTCCCTTCTGAGTATTGTTTGTGTATCACTGGACATGCCCTTTCCTACTTTCAGATCCATCTAATAATACCATTTATTCCATGAAAACTTCATGATTCTCCTTAGTCATTCCCCTAGAAGTTTATTCTGCACTCTGCATGCTTGTGTCTTGCATGTTGATTGCTTTAATAAATGTCACATCTCTATCAGAAGCCACCCCCAAACCAGCATTTGCATTGCTCTTTCGTTTCTTCTAGCACAATGTCCTGTACATGGTAGGTCCTAAGTAAAATGTGAGTGAACACAAGGATGAATGAATGGGTAATTGTTGCTGTGGGACCTGAAGAATGTCTGCATCAGAGATCATTTTTAACAGATATTATTCTGCAGCTATGCCTCTGCTCTGGTTCTAAGGATTCAACCCAAAGGGGTGCCCAAGGGTGGGATCAAATGAAGTGGGATCCCTCTCCACCTGAGCTTGGCACTCAACTCCAGCACCTGGGGCAGATGGTATGTGGCCCTTCGGTTTCATTCAACACTGTCATTCACTGCCTATGATGTGTGTAATGGCCCCACTATAGTAGATGTTTGAGTTCTCTCCTTTGGGCAGGCACTTAGCTTTTCTGACAAACTCAGCCACACTGCCGTGAGGAAGAGTCAGGTTGACTTGCTCCCCACAGTTTATTTCCATTTTCACCATGCTCTCGGAGAGCCAATAATCTGATATTTGTAGATTCACCTATAAATCATTCAAGCTGTAAGGCAAACTGCAAGCCAGAATGCAGAAGCTCAGGGAGAGACAGCAGGCAAACTTCTAACGTCCCTAATTAATACGCCTATGTCTTGAAGTCATGCCTTATCCCAATGTATCTTTTTTAAATTCCTCTGTTATACAAGTCTGCAGATGGAGGAATAGAGGAGATGACAAGCTTAAGGAATGGTCTGTTACTCAACAGCAACAACAACAAAAGTAATGACTCTTTCAAAGTTCTACAAAAATAGCTGGCATTGGTTGAGTTCCTCCTGAGTAAAAGGCAGTTGGACTAATGTTTTACTCAATGTTCTCATTAATTCTCAAAATATCCCTGTGATGTGGAGTTATCCCCAATTTACAAATGAGCTAACGGAGCTGAAGGCTCAGTCTAAGTGTTTAAGTACATTATTAACAATCACAAAGCTAGAATGGCAGAGCCAACCACTTCCAAGAATAGGGAATGAGAATCAAGTATAGAACTCATTTTAAAATGAAAAAAATATAAAACAAGTATTAATAGCTCCATAGAATGTATAATTCTAAGAACTTATGTATGCTGCTGATAGGAGTATGCAATATGCATAATAAAGCAATGTACTTACTCTCTGTCAATCACAAGGCAGGTTACGGCTTCTGCAGCAATTACATTCGCTGTTCTCACATCTTCCCTATAGGAACATAAAAATGAAAAGAGAAATTGAAGTAAAATGACCTTCAATATCAAAGAAAAGTATCCATTGTAATTCAAGAAATATACATATATTAAATTATATAGGCTACTCTGACTTATCCACTTCCAGCATTAAGCTTTGTTCATATTACAAAACCAACCTACTCTTGCCATTTTTCAGACAAATTCCACAATTATAATCCAGTAGTTACAATTTTTGTGTTTTGTTTCATTGGTGCAGTGGTATTAGGTCATCATTCCCTTTGCTCTCTGGGTAATTAGTAAATTAATTTGATATTGATAAACATACTGATGAACACAAATAGATGAAAATTTTTAAAGAATCTCAAGAGGTATTTACAGAAACTGAGCATCTAATTCATTTGTAAATGAATTTAATATGTAATTGAGAATAATGAATCCATTTTGATTTTTCCATGCTTTAGAGACCCTGCTTTTTTTTTTTTTTGGCAGCTAACCTAATACCAACTTATGATATACAGTTATTCAACTACATCAGAGTGTATGTTTTTTTCAAGAGTGATAAATTTAAGTTACACTGGCTGCAATATATAAATTACATCTCTTTAGAAGCACTAACTTGTCACTGCAGTAGAATCTATTCACCTCTAAAACTTTTGAAATTCTGCCTTTGTATCTCTTTATCCAGTAGTCAAAGGTAGAGTTGGTAAGTTAACATTCACAATTTATCTCCAGCTTCTAAAAATTTGATAGTACCATTGTCATGGTAACATTGAATTATACTTGAAAAGGCATTTTTTCTTTTATTAACAAAAATTTTAAGTTAATGTTAACTGATAATCACTATTTGTGAAATACATTACAGAAATAAATGCACAGGAAATAATAGTGTTTATAATACATTCAAAAAACCATAAATGTCATGTATCCCTAATATGTTTTCTTGCAAATAAAAATGTCCCCAGTGAACATTTACACCTTCAAAACACACTAAATTCTGACATATCCTTCTTTGCTGTCTATTTTTAGCAGTCTTTCCACTGTTGTTATACCATGCGGCTAAGATTACAGTTGCTTTGTGGCAACTATTAGTGTTCAGTATTGGGTAAAGCAAGTTCTGCCTTGCAAAAGTTATATTTTCAGAAAGATCGTAGTATATTTAACTACTTGTTATCACATAAATTTCAAAATCCCGCTTCCACTTCTGAGGAAACCCACATTAGGATTCTGGTAGAGCTGTGTCACATTTACAAGGACTTCAGAAGAATGATTTCCTAACGACGTTAATTTTTCTACACAAGAGCATGGTACGACTTCCCACTTGTTCGGTTCTAGTTGTACGACTGTACGTGAGAGTTCATAATCTTTTTTACTTGGGTCCTGATACTAAACAAAAAATCACTCTTAGGTGTTTCAAATGATGTTTCTCTTAATGAGTGATACTCCTTTTCCCTATCTATCTCTCACTGCTGCGCTATTAAAGAAAAAAATTCTAAAGTATTGTAGATGTTTTTAACCTACCTACGATACTATGTTCTCCCCTGACTGTAACACTTTTACTATACTCTCATCACCTCCCAGTGTGATCCTCCCAGTGCCTTCCAGCCAAAATAGCCTCCTTTCAATGAGTCTCCCTCCTGCCAAGGGTTCTTCTTAGCATGATTTCCCTCAACCTAGGAACCTCCTGTGCAACTCTTTCCGAGATGTAGCACAGCTCCTCCTGTGGTTCACAGTCTATGTGCCTTTTTTCTCAGGGAAATCATCCTGAATTAACCATCTCGGGCTCCCTGCTTAGCTGTTTTCACTGCCCTATGCATTTCTACATCCAATCACTATCACCATTTGTGATTTATATATTCATGTATGTGCTTATTTGGTTAAAGCTTCTATTGCCTTCTCACTGAGTCATATGTGGGCAGGGCCCTTGGCTACTTATGGTCCCCATTTTACCCCAAAGACCTGCCCCACGCAGTGCTGAGCAAACACGTGGTACAGGAATGGCTCAGTCATCACGTTCCTGAGCTCTGGGCCAGTACAGCAGAGTTCAGGCTTTGGAGTTTTACTATCTGGGTGTTACCCCAGCTTGACTATTGGAGAGCTATATGAAAGGCTCAGTTTCTTCATCTATAAAATGGGAATGGTAAGAGTCCCACTCACTGTGTGGAATTCAATGAAATAATAAGAGAGAAGTTTGTCACAGCGTTTGCACATAGAAAGAAGTATGCTTTGCTGTTTGCCTGTAATTTTCATGTTCAACACTATCCATCATGTATATCCTTTGGAAGCATTGCTGCTTTTAAAACACTCCTACTCAGAAACAAAGTGGGTAATCTTCTTGCCTGCTCCACAGGAGAGAAATGTATTTTCAACTCCATTATCACTTTCTGAGAGAGAATTTTCTATGAAGCGAACATAACAGATAGAAAGCATTAGTAATGCACATTGGATCCTTCATAAATTGTGTGAATGACAACAAGAAAAACAAACAAGATCATCATAGCTTTATAGAGTACATTTTAAATTTAGATTTACCAAAAAATGTATTTCAATTTTGACTATTCAGAAATTGTGTATAATCCTTAAAAAACAGAATGTCTCAGTTTGAACATATTTTCTATGTGTGTCTGATAAAACATGTACTCATCACAAAGTCTAAATACCTTACATTTTTAAAACATCTGGCCTATATTTGATACACTTTACCAGGAGTTCTGGCAGTCCATGGGTTGGCACGAATATTTGAAAACTTTTAAAAACTAAATGTAATTTCCTCACAATAAACAGAAAATGCATTGGTATTTTTCAAGTCAGTGGTGGAAAAAAAAAGATCAGGAGAGTGGCACAGTCAATAAAAATTGAAAAAAAGGAAAATAAGTATAGATTGGAATCCAACTTGATACCTAGTAAAGCAGCATGAACATATAACAAAACTGAAAAGAAGCATAATATCAGGGAAAAATATATTAAACAAAATTATAAACAACTAATATAATGTTTGCTACTTAGTGGCCATCTTGGATATGCCAGGAACTCTGTTAAACAGTTCATATAAATCTTATTTATTGCATATAACAACAGGTGGTTATTTTAACACAAATTTTTATGTGGGTAGAGGTTAGGTAATGCATCCAAAGCCAGACGTGCCTAGTGAGTTGCAGCCTTGGAATCTGAGCATAGATCTGGCTGACCCCAAAGTCATGTGCTTTGCTTCTATACTCTATCAGGTTCTAATTTGACAACTATTCTAAATTCACTAAAATATAGGATGACATCAGAGTAGAAACTAGTCATAATGTTTCTCGGTCTAACATAAAATTCACATTTGATTGTTAATAAAATTACACCTGATCTATTTGAGTACTCAATTCCAAAACTAATCTAATGAGACATGTTGATTCTCAAATTACTGGAATTACTACACATGGCTGCATCCTAGCCTACTATGTTACCATTTAAGAATATTACCTAACGAGAAGTTAATCATTGCCCAAGATAATTCAATACAAAACTCACACTGCTATACATTATCAATGTATTTCTATTACTAGGTTCTTAGTGCCTTTATGTCTCCATATTCAGATGTTTAGAAATGCTATTTCTGTGCACTCAGAGAACCACCTCCTGTGAGAAACAATGCTATCTCACCTAATATTGACTTTAATCCCTAACTTTAGGAGAGAAGGCAGAAAATTCTAGTGAAAGAATATTACTGATAGAAGCTGACAATGCTATGATTACTGTGTATGTTTATTTCTTCTATGGGTGCAATGATCATAGTAAAAGCAGGTATCTTTGGAGTTACAGGTTAAATAGTATATGCTCATTTAGAGACCTTGATAACTAGATGCTGTTATTAAACATTTCAAACAGTTTGTAGCTGTTGTGATTTTGGTTAACACAGAACATCTATTTAGTGAGCAGAAATTTCATGTGATATTGATTCAGACATGCAGAAATGTAAGAGAGAAGGAAATGGCATTATTTTTAAAAATTGAGCTTTAATTTTCATTTTTTGGCATAAAGGTTATTTAATAGTTTACAATAGAAGAATATGAAATTTTGAAAAAATAGTTTAATAGATGAAGATATGACTTTGAAAAAAATGAAGAGAGAATTTTATAAAGCCAAAACTACTTAATTGGACACTTTTACAAAACACTAATTTCCTGATTACTCAGCATACAAGGCTTGCTTCTTTATAATAAATGTACACTGTCTTTAAAAATATTATGTTCATTCAGTTTTGTGCCTGTGCAGCAGTTGATTCCAGTGTGACTATTAATAAACACACCCAACTGCAAAAGTAGATACTGTTTGCCACATTAACAAATATTTTCACAAACTTGCTCTATGGATTAATGGATAATGACAGTCAAAGCTATGCAGTTTAGTAGTGGTAGCTTCTCAAGCATTTTTGGAGGAGTTAGAAAGTTTTTTTCAATGAAAGTATAGCAAAATAAAAATAGCCCAAGATATTCGCAAACATAGTTTTCGGTGCACTGACTCTGATATTCTTTGACCTTCATCACCGGAATCTTCATCATCGCTGTATCCCAACGTGGAGTCACTGTCAGTATCTGAATAATCCATAATAAGGGTTTACATTGACCTTTCTCGTTCTGAAGAAATTCTCCTGTGTCTCATGGCTACTGGAAACTAGTTGCATTGAAATCTCAGGGGAACAAATGCACAGTGTATGAGGCTAAAGCAGAACACAGTTCATGCAAAGTAGGTGCCAGAATAGGGACTCTCCCTTTTCAGCTCTGGAGCAATGTGACTGCTGTCAACAGAGTCCTAGCATTCTCTCAATGCCAGCCTTCATGGAAACTGACACTACTCCAATAGCTTATGAGCTTACGGCAATCCACTGGTCAGAGCTCTTCACTCTCTGTCATGTGCAATAGGGCTAATGTCCCAGTTAAGTTTGATTCACACAGAACAAAGCAAATCCTTTTATCTCATATCAAAGGCAATGTTACTACAGCAGGTAGGATAATCAAAATTGCTAAGATGTGA